AATGAACCGTTAGAGCCTGGATCAAAGTACAGGGTTCATGTAAGAATCGTTACCACGACAGTGGATGGGGTGAGTTTGCGGTGATATTCAAAATTCATGGGTAATGGTTAGGTCAGATTAGTTTTTCAATAACTTATCTAAAAAACAAATTCCATTCAATTTACAGTATGATATGACTTAGGAAAGGCTAACACACTGTAATTAAGTAAGAATGATTATTATATTGTTCACTGTGCTCTACCTTTGGAACTGCTACCTCCATGAGTGCACCCTGTCGCAACAGTAACCGATACATTGGTCTTCGTTATTCCCACTCTTTTTTTTCTTGTACTTTTGTGCCACCCATCTTCATACCTCAATCTCTTTATTTTTCTACCCTTTCTTCTCTTTTTTTGAGGGGGGAGGAGGAGGGGAAGAAGGAAGATGGGTTTACAGAATCTAATTTCCATTTGCCTTTTTTATCTCTTTCAGAAACGAATTTTCGGAGACTCGAGTTTTGTGGCTTTCACGACAAAAACCTACTACAAAGATGAAGGTGCATAAAAATAGTGCTTGCTGTTACAGTCCAAATTACACTTATTGTAGCATGGGTGGCGTTCGCGGCTAACGCGTCTTCTTTCACCGCTGCGAGTCCAACGGGTCGGGTCGCTGGTTCGAGCGGTCGCCACATGTGAATTGAGTTTGTTTGATGTGTTGTTCTCTCCTATACTACAAGGGTTTTCTCCGGGGACTCCGGTTTCCTCCCTCCATAAAAATCAACATGTGAGTTGAGTGTTGTATGAAATATAGAACGTAGTGGTAGAGTGGAGGAAACCGCACGGAAGAGCCCCGTATGGGGAGTGGTGGTTGTAAAATATTATCATATTATTATTGTATACAAATTACAATGTTTCCGAAATTGTACAATTTCATGTCAATCAAGCCATTTCCCTTGATTCAAAAAAGTGTTGGGTTTTCCGACGATATGATTTTAAAAAACATCAGTTTTGACTGGGAAAAGCATTAACGTTGTAGATCTTATTACCAGTGTGCACAACAGGTATGGTGCAAAGCTAGGACTATTTTAATTATTTCATTGAATGATTGTTATATTTTCAAGCAGCGGTAAACGAACTAGTTGAACACTGAGTGTGATCATTATCGTTTCGCTTACAGCTGGAGCCCCACCAATACAGATTAGAGATACCAAAGACATTTCTTATTCGAATGTAGTGATCTTTTTCA